AATATGTTACAAGAGCCAATTCATTACTGCTCATATAACATATGGAACAACAAACCACCCAAACTCCATTCAGGTTGTCCAAACAACATTTAAAGCACCAGTAATTATTTTGGGACAAATCCTCGGTGCAGTGGGTCAATCTCTCACTAGATTTTCATCTGGGTTTGGCTCTAACCAACATCAATGTGGGGAAAATTAGTGCAGATGCTGGAATCTGTACTGAAAACAAAAAATGCTGGAGATTACGGCGGGTCAGGCATCTATGAAGAGAAAGCAAGCTAATGTTTCGAGCTTAGATGACTCTTCATCACAGCTGAAGTTTTCGATGTGAGGAAAGCCTAGTCTTTCTGTTGATCTTTGGAACATGAAATTAGATGAAAAATATCTTCTAAAATGTAATGCAGATATTGGAAATGTGCAAAGTTTGACAGCTTATGAATGGTTTTAGTCAGAAAGGCAAGATTGAAAGTTTTATGCTGGAACAGCACTGTACATCCTTCTGACAGCAGGACAAAAGATAAAGTTAATACAGAGCAGATCAACAGGTTCAATTTTTCAGTTTGAAGCTTAAACCTGAGGTGTTGACCCAAGCCATAAACATGGTTAAAAACAGCAAGGGATGTTAGTCATATGAATCAGTATTTATGGTGCTGGAGTTATGTGACTTATATGGAATTGAAAGCAGCTGGTGCAGCCCAAAACTCTGTAATACCTTCATTGTTTTTCCATAATAAACTCAACACAGTAATTACAAACAAAATCACTGGAGCTTGAAGTGCCAAATCCATGCGCTCAATTTTTACAACGTATTCTGGATTCCCTAATATCCCAGGAGATCATCATTCGAATTTTTCTCTGATGACATACAGAAGTGGCACAGGGCCTTCCCAACTCAGAAAGGTTAATGCTTCCTTTCAAATGGGAATACTGCTGCTGCCTAGCATATACCCTGCATTTAGGTAGAACCTAATTTATTTCAGGGGATGAGGCAGGAAAAAGAGTGGAAAATCCCACCTTGCCATTCAGCTTGGTTGCTCTTCCCAGCTGTCTCAGTGACTATTACTCTGTGTAATTCAGGGGGAATCAGCAATATTGAATGTTACAACATCCTTTTACAAAGGCAACACTACCCTCTGCTGTTCAATTGACAGAATGCCTCACAATTTCTTTTGCACAATAAAGTAAATCTAAATATCAATCCCCAGTGTTCCCCTAAGTGGGTTAAAATAACATTGTTTTGCTCCCCTTCGCTCAGTGAATACAGCCAGAAGGTTTCTATCAATGTACCCAGTATTAACCCAGTGCCTGAGCAGTCATTATATTTGGTTGAAGAATTTAATCTTTTTGCTTCAAAGTTTACCTCCTCAGCCTTATGTGCTGGCTCCTTGCAGAGACTGTTTCCATAAATCATTTCCCAGTAGCTCTCTCAAGTGTCTATATTAGTATCAGGAGGATTTTTAATATGTGAGATGTAGCAACACTGACTTGCTAATCCTGTTTAACAACGTTCACAGAACCAGGTCTCAGTCCGAGATGCCTTATCGTTTTCCATCTCTGGGCACTGAGGCCAACTTTGGTTTTTATTGAATGTGATCCAGTTGAAATCTACTAAAATAGCACACATATATGATCAAACTAGGACTTTCCTGTTATGTCTACTGAATAAAATCACCAACATATCCTAATGGTACCAAAATTTAACAGTCTTGCAGACCTCTCCCCTAATAGGAACCACATGGCTAATTTTTGTCTCCTCAAACTAACTCTGAAATAATATCAGCTTGAAATGTGGAACAAAAACGGAAAATGTTGGAGAAACTCAGCAGGTCTCACAGCATCTGTGGAGGGAGAAACAGAGTTAATGGCAAGTGTCTATAAACCCCACTTTTATCAGCCTCCAGTCACAAACACTTCAGCTGTCCCTCCACTTCCTTTCATGGCCAATTTTGGGTCCAATTTGCTGTTTTCAAGCGGGACCTATCACGGAATTAACAAAGCACAGAGACAGGGTGCCTTTCCCTCACCTTATGGTCTGCATTGCCCTTAACAGGTTCTGCATGTAAATAAATCAACTGGAAAACACTAGTGTTTTCTGGTGCTGGTTAATAGTAACAAAAAATGGGAAATTTGAAAATGAAAAAAAAATACAATTGTGTGTAACTGTATTTCTGGATATAGAACCATAGAGGAAGACATGTGACCCATCGAGTCTACCCCAGCCCTCTGAATGAGAAAAAAATGAAAGCTAGATGAAACCTTTTAAACTAGATAAATAACAGTGCATAAAAAACCTTCTTCAATATAGTCAGCATCAAAAAGAACCCACATTCCAAGTGTAATAGAAACTGAGACTGGCTGAATAAGAATAGTGACAGAAAAGAGGAATTCAACAGGAAGATGACATTGCTGGTGGTATTTTGAGTCCCTCTTCAAGCTACAGAAAACAGTACTTAATTTGCGACTAAAATTTGTGGCAATGAGAGTCCAAAGCAACACTCATATTCTCTGGGCAATCTCCACTCTGTCTTGTCTGTACAAAATGGAAGAAGTTAACGGAATAGAAAACTGGTGGTGGAGTGACAGTATTTAATTAATGCTTATTCTTCACTGCCACCCAAAACAAATTTCAACCCCATTTGTGCACTTCTTTCTGTCGAAGCAGGGATATTTAGCTGGATTTTGTTTCTTGAACAAACACCATTTTTGGATATTTTCCTAATTTCTTCTCTAACTTTTCCCGGAGCATTATTGATTGCTGGGTGAAGGTCTCAGCTGTGGCTTTCTAGGTAGAAGGAACCTACTTTAAGTAGTCAGTGAACTAGTCCAGAAGAATTTAGCAAGATATTTTGGGGTTATAATGTTAACAGGAGCAACTTTGGTTCATTCCAACTGATGTTCTTCCTTTTTGTGGGGGAACTATTCAAAGAATAAAAGCTTAAAAAAAGACGAAAAAGGAATCAGCTGAGAGAGCACAGAGTCAGAGACGTGTTCCAATCACTAACTCTCAGAGCTGGGTAGAGAGTCTCTGAGAATGACTGTTGCTGGAAAGTACATATCAGGCTTAGCTTGTTGCCTGATACACTGTAAAAGGAGATTATTCCAGCATCAAAATCCACAAACACTCCCACCTTAGAGGATATTCGGACAGCTAGGTCTGTGGTATTACCATCGTGCTGGGCTGAAACAGAGCTGGACCTTGATAAGTAACTCCACAAATTATTATTACTCTCGGAGCACACAATCCATGACTTACTGCTCTCCCCCAGCACACTTTCTTTATCCCGACCCTTTCGCTTTACGCTACCGTAACAGACCCCAATTGCCCATTTGCCACGGACTCCGGCAATCTCCACCTCCCAGTAACAGCGGCCACTGTTGACTCCCTCGGAGCACAGCACCTGACCCCAGGCGTCAAATCTCTTGCGGTTAGCAGGATAGGGCTGTCTGTACTGGGTCCCAGTCGCGACCCTCTTATCGCCTGACAGAATGACACTGCGATGAGCAGTCTCCACATCCAAAGTCGGTGTCTGTCCATCTGTGGATAAAGCAACGTTAGAGAGGATCACAGCTCTGATCTGTGAAGTTCTTTCCTCATCCTTGAGTTAGGAATGTTAAGGAGGAGGTACACCTCTTAATGAAGGTGAGGCCACAAACTGGTCACCAAGCTGGGACGGGGTGGGTCACTTAATAGCTGCCCAGACCATTTGTGGGAATATCTCAGGCAATCCAATGGCATCAAAAGGCCCCAAAGTATGGAATAATATGCCAAATTTGGGGTAAGGGGACAAATAGGAAGTGACTGACTTCCTACCCCAGAAAGAGGATGGGATTTTTCTCAACATCTTAGTAAAGGAATGAAAAGTAACTGTCAACCTTTTGCACCTTCAGATCGGAGTGAAATCCCAGGCCTGTATGTCCAGGTGGCTCCCCCAGGATGTATGCTTCCACTTCTCACAACAGCTCAACGTCTGTCTCCACCCCTACCCCCTGGCAATCCCACATCTTAAACCTGTTTGGCTTCCACTGCAACAGGCCCCAGTAGGAACTCCAGAGAAAGGCCAGTTCCCAGCTTCATTTGCGACCCATCACTACAGTTTAGCCAGACTCACGGCTAGACTGGAGTGGAACTGCCACAGATTTATGACCCTGAGGTCTTTGGTGCAGTGGACTATGTAAGCTGAATGCTGAATTGTTATAATTTTAAATAGATCCACACTTTTATAAGAAAGCCTCAATGCAATTTAACAAGTGTCACAGTGAAGTACACAAGAGGAACAGGGTTGTACTTACACACAGTTGCTATTATGTCCCGATCCCTCTCGAGTTGGGAAACGACTTCATACTGTTTCTGTACCCAGTTTATCTTATCCGCTGTTATTCTGTTGACATCAGGCGGTGGTGGCTGTGGGGCTAGTGGTTCAGATGCTGCTTTTATTCTAAAGAACAAAGGTAAGCTACATTAAAATGCATTCAGTGCACAATATAAATAAATGAAGCAGATTTACAGAAGGGAATATGAAGAATTATTCTGGAAAATGAGCCAGTTATAATGATTGGCAGACAGACAAATGTAATGAGCTGATACAATTAAAATGTAAGAATCTACAATGAAATAAAAGCCAGCCTGCAGCTAAGGCTGAAGTTCAAAACAGAGCTGGACCAATCCCTGGACTGCAACTACTCAAATATACTTGGAACTGAAATATTAAAAGTCCATTGATTCATTAGAGGAACTACTCTCAAAAGATCCTACCCAAAATTGGAAGGAATAGCAGTAGAAAAAAAACAGTAATTGGGAGATGAAATCTACTATTACTTCACTACTCCAATCTTCAATTCCCTCCTCCTGCCCCTGTCAAAATCATCTTTGCTGCTCCTTCCATGTGTGCTATTTGTAAGCTTAGCTAAGGCTTTCAGTGGATGACTAGATCTAGTCTTTGATCCAATGACTTTTTGAAATTATTTTCAGCAAAGTCCTGATGGTACTCGTGAAAGAATAGCTGATGAATTCTTTTGATATCTTAGCCAATACTTTGCTCCTCAACCAACACCACCAGGAAACAGAGTCATGGATTAGAAATCAGGTTCCAATCTCCAGTGGGACAGGAAATTGCAATACTGGGAAAGCGCTTATGAGGACTAGTGCAAAATATACAAACCTCCAGCGCAAATCACATAGGGAAGTTATTGCTACACCATCAGGTTATGTAATTGAATGATTCGAAATGGATATTGAGTGAGCATTCCTGACATAAGATGCAGGGCCAGCATACAAGATGACAAATAATGCTGAAACAGAGAGAATATTGGGAAGGCCTGAAATTTGTAAAGGGCTGATCAAACATACATTAAGATACTTGATTAATGAAGTGACTATGTGCACACTCTAGATGACTAAACACACGTTCACTTCTTGGTTAATGGTGCAATCCTAAACACTCAGAGGTCAAATGGTACTGTTTTCAGAAAATTTTCCAAATGACCATCCATTTCCTGTCTGATAGTCGTGCTTAATGGGGTGAATTTTAGATTTGTCCAGGTGCTTAGTAAATGGAGTGTTTATGCATACACTCAGATCCATGGATAATGTCCTGAATGTAAACTCAATTACTCAGTTTATGGATTATTTATACATGCAGTCAGTTACTTATTTAATGGATCATTTATGCACACTCAGTTTCTCATTTAATGGACTATTTATAGTTATGCACAATTATTTATTGGCACAGCAGATAGCGAGAAGCAGCAAAGCTAAATTTGACAGAGTGACTGCTTCATCATAGTCACAGATATTTTCCAGATGCACAACAGTTATAGATGACTGCCAGAATTTCCTGTTCCACATTCTCCATACCACGATCATCATCATTTCCATTTTGATGAATGTGAGTAAAATGGCAGTGCAATAGCTAGTGCACAAGTGGTGATCCCCAGCATAAGTCTCATTTGTCATTCAGGAAGTTACAATATTTTAACAGGCATTTAAAACACCTCAGGAAGAACCTATTTGCTTAAGCGATTGTAATGAGTATTTTACATAATTGGAGGAGATTTTCAGTTCTTCATTAATCAAATAAAGAATGTGCATTTATATTGTGCCTGTTTTATAAAAGCTCCATTGTAGCTTGTAGCCAATAAATTACTTTGAAATGCAATTGGTATTGTCAGATGGAAAACTATAGCAGCCAAACTGTACACAACAAGTTCCTATTAACAGTAATCTGATAAACCACAATTTAATCTACTTTGATGGGGCTAGTTAGGGAAAAACATTAGCCAGGATATGTTACAAACTCTCTGGTCCCCTTTATATCATACCACTGCACTCTCATGTCCACCTCATTGGCAGCTCATTTAAATATCTGATCTGAAAGATAGCTTATTAACAATGTAACACTCTTTGGGGACTGTGCTGAAGTGCCAACATGGAGCTAACTCCCAACACCCTGATACAACAACAATAAAAAATTTGCATTTATTTAGCATCTTTCCCATAGACAAAAATGTTCTTAAGTCAGATCCAGAATTCAGAATGTGGCCACTGAGCCAAGCTGATGGCTCTATTTTAAAAAAAACCTAACATATGGCATAGGACGTTAAAGAACAAAAATGTCTAAAGTTAAAAAACAAAGTAATCGCATTGTTGTTTACATAGTGAAGATTTATATAAATTCAATTAATTCCGGTGAATTATATTAAAATTTATTTCACTTACCTCAATGCCATTGAATTAAATCCCTGAAATAATGAGATAAAATGGATAATGATTACAATCGCTCATATGAATAAACATATCAGACGTACACTCATCCTGTGCATTAAGTATCAGCATTATTGTAGAATATATATACTTAGATACATTGATATTCTATAAGAAAATCAATCGTAGTTTCTTATAGTTCTATTTCTCGCTATGAAAACAAAACAAACTTTATTCCTTTGCTACCTGCTGTTTGTGAAACATAGCCAACTATATGAACCAATTATAGCAGAATTCAATTAACAAACAACAAAAACATTTCTGACCCATACGTGAACTAACTCTCTTCCACCGTCATTCCTGATGATTGGAAACCAAGGAGTCAACAAGGCCTGCAAGGGTCCATAATGTGTGGTACCTTGAGTTGAGGATTACCTGATCAGCCAAGACCTCAGTGAATGGCACAGCAGACTTGATGGCCTGAATGGCCTACTTCTGGTCTTATGTGAGATAAGATTGAATTTAGGAATATAGTCACTCCAGGAGGGCATTCAGCCAAAGTTCACCTGCGTTGCCATTTTATGGGCTATTGGAGTGGTTTGTTCTTTACATCAAATTCCAAAGTCATCCATAATCACCAGTGTGAGCCTTGTCTCAATTGGGAGGACACTTGTCTCAGTTAGAAGGTTGTGAATTCAAGTCTCTTTAATAGACAGCACCATCACCACCCTCAGTTATGTCCTGTCCCACTGACAAGACAGATCCAGCAGCACAGTGGTATATAGATGGCCTGGAAATCCTCAACATGAAGTCTCATAGCATCAGGTGAAATATGGATGAGGACACCTCTTGCAGATTACCACCTACAGCAACCCCTACCCCTCGTTCTCCTCTACTCCCCACCCACCCCCCACCATCCTGATGAATCAGCGACCTTCCATATTGAACATCAATTGAAGGAAGCACCACGGGGGGCAATGGCATGTAAAGTACCCTGGGGGGAGGCATCAATGTCTATCACAAAGAGTGGCTCAGCATCACCACTACGGACCGAGCTGGTCAAGGCTTAAAGAACATAGCTACTGGACAGCATCTGCGGCAAGTCAACAGGGGAGTCATCCCTGGCCAATAGTTATCCTTCAATCTACATCACCAAGCCAGATAATCTGGTCTCTATCACACTGCAGTTTGTGGGAGTTGCTGTGCACAAACCAGCCGCTACATTTCCTACATTCCAATAGCAAGTACACTTCAAAAGTGCTTCTTTGGCTGAAAGCACTTTGGAGTGTTTTAATGACAAAAAGGTCACTAAAAGATGCAAGCTCGTTTTTTTCTATTTCTCCTATTACATTCTCCCTCAGGTCAACTCTGGCATTGCTTTTTAAATAATATACTGATTTTCTGTCTGTAACCTTCGGGAGCAGTCCATTTATATCTTTTCTACAACAATTTTTCTTGGGTATTGTTTGCTGAAACAGTTTAAATTAGCAATTTAATCTGTAAAAATCATATGTCTTACCCTTGCTTTGTATTCCCCTTCCAGCAAGGATGCATTTCCGGCTGGTCTTCTACATTTTATTCTCCATAAACATAAGGTCATCCAAAAGTCCGTTGCTCATAACTTGCAGCTAGTTCCATTTCCTCATCAGTCCCTGTGTTCACTGACCTACACTGACTCCTGTTCAAGCAATGTGATCATTTTTAAATTCTTATCCTTGTTTGCAAATCTCCCTACGGCCTCATCTCTCCCTATCTCTGTAACCTCCTCCAGCCTCATCACCCTGTGCTCCTTTAGTTTTGGGTTTCTGTGCATCCCAAATTTTAATTGCTCCACCCGTTATTGGTCATGTTGTCAGTTGCTGAGGCGCCAAGCTCTGGAACATCCTACCTATACCTATCTGCCCCTCTACTTGATTTACTCCTTTAAAACTGTCCTTAAAACCTACCTTCTTACCATATTTCTGGTCACCTGACCTAATGTCTCCTTACATGGCTGGGTGTCATTCTTTACAAGGCTCCACAATGCAAGTTGTTGTTGTGGAAATGATAATCCATTTCTTGATGTTCCCACGGACTTGCAAAACAAACTTCTGACCCAGGACCCCCAAAATCCAAGTTCCCACTAACAAGTTTGTTGGAGAAGGTGTTTGTCTCAGTAAGGGTTAATACTGAGGAGTGTGTTAAGCTCTACCCAATACTTATGAACGCCTGGATGGGAAAACTGCTCTGTACAACAAGGAGATAGACTTACCATCTAGGTCTCCTCATATTCTTAGTAACAAGCAACATCGATTTTAAGAGAAGACTCTCATCTCTTTAGATTACCAGGTGTTTTTTTTTTTCTCAACAACACTACATAAGCTGGCCCTGAAGATCCCAACCTGCAATGAGGGTGGTGCAGTAAATTTACCTTCTAGTGACCAACAATCCACCAAACTCATACAACATGCCGAGGTATAGTGAGAATCAGATATGACCTGGTACCATCGTTGGGTAATGCTTAGTCTACCGACAGACCATATTAGAATCAATGGCCCCTCTCTAATTCTCGGAAACTTCAACACCTCCTCTCTTCTCCAATACTTAAACCACATGACTGATATCTCCCCATCCCAATACCTACCCTCCCACGACAGGGAAGTTTTCTTCTGCATTTCAGACATTAGATTTTTAAAAAAAGCTTAAAATTCCCCCATTTTTCTTTATTTATTGATGTCATGTTGGCATCAGTAGCAAGACTAGAATTTGCTGTCCATCCTTAATTGGCCTTGAGCTAAATGGCATGGCCAACCATTTCAGAAGGTGTTTATGAGTCAAGCAAATAACAGCACAGTCGCATGCAGGTCAGATGCAGTAAGAGTCATAGTCATAGAGATGTATAACATGGAAACAGACCCTTCAGTTCAATTTGTCCATGCCAACCAGATATCCTAAATTAATCTAGTCCCATTTGCCAGCATTTGGCCCATATCCTTATAAACCCTTCCTATTCATATACCCATCCAGACGCCCTTTAAATGTTGTAATTGTACCAGCCTCCACCACTTGCTGTGGCGGCTCATTCCATAATCGCACCACCCTCTGCATGAAAAAGTTACCCCTTTTAAATATTTCCCCTCTCACCCTAAACCTTTGCCCTCTAGTTTTGAACTTCCCCACCCTGGGGAGAAGATCTTGTCTATTTACCCTATCCATGCCCCTCATAATTTTATAAATCTCTATAAAGTCACCCCTCAGCCTCTGACACTCCAGAGAAAATAGCCCCAGCCCATTCAGCCTCTCCCTAGTGCTCAAATCCTCCAAAACTGGCAACATCCTTGGAAATCTTTTCTGAACCCTTTCAAGTTTCACAACATCTTTCCTACAGCAGGGAGACCAGAATTGCACACAGTATTCCAAAAGTGACCAATGGCAGATTTCCTTCCCATAAGTGAAGGATACTAGTGAACCAGATGAGCTTTTACAATCATCATTGATCGTTGCATTGGCATCATTCCTGAGGCTAGATTTCAAATCCAGAATTCTATTTTTAATTAATTGAATTTAAATTCCACCAACAGCCACGCTAGGATTTGAACTCATAATTCCCCACAGCATTACCCTGGGCCTCTGGAATGGTAGGATAGTGGCATTCACTCCATCACCATTTCCATTTAGTGGTTTTAAATAATCTGCAACATAGACCACATTACCTGTATAAAAATAAGCTTTTCGTTCTTCGTTAAAAGATCACTGAAATCAGACAAATTCTTCTCAAAGTCTTCCATTTTGTTTTCCAGTTCAAGTATCTGCGCATCGATTTCCCTGGTCACATGCCTCTGAACCTTGTCCAGGTATTTACAAGCTTCTTTCTCTTCATTCTCAAAATACTTCCGTACTGCGTTACACTTCTCCTGAATCTGGAGTTTGGTTTCTCTGATCAGAGTCTGAGGAGTGGAAAAGTTCTCGTTAATACACCACGGGTCATGTGACAGCACGTAACTTTCCTGATTGAATCTGTACATCAACATTATCCAGACTGAGCTTGCGAGAGCACGTTCTCCACATTCATTGTAATCAGTCAGGTTTGTGAATCTGAAAGGAACTACTGGAGACTAAACTTTGTCGTGGATGTCTCCTTGGGCTGAATTTAGTGGAGCCTGCCAGGGTTCGCATGTTGGGCGTGGCTGGTGAGTAGGCGTACCCATCTGCAATTCTCACAATTGGGAAATTAGTTAAGTCCCAGTGTGGGAATTCCATGCAGGATACCAACAGGGCTCATCAACAGCTTAAAGCCAAATTATCCCTGAATACAACAGGGTTAAGCGGTGGTTCAGAGTTTAACAGGGCTTTGCATGGGTCCCTCTTGGCTCCTAAAGACCATGTAGCCATGGGCTTACCTGGACGTTCCCATGTTGATGGGCACATAGTGTCCAAACAAAGAATGGGGCATTAGGAATGAGAGGGGGTGGGGGCAGGGGCACTGAAAGTGAGCCATTTCTCCTCAACTCCTGCTCCACTCTCCCCTGCCCTATCCATCCTCACTCACCTCTGTCCATGGATCCAATGTCAATCTCCTGAGTAGGCCTTGGAGTATTGTTAGCAACAGCAGCTGGCAATGGACAGTTGCTAACCTCTGATGGTACAAGACCCAGTGGGATTGTCCATGACTCTGTGAGGTCTGGCACTAACCAATCATGCGTCCAATTCTGTTTAAGCTGCAGAAACAGAAGCAGTGCAGGAATCCTACCAGTTGTCTCAGGCAGCAGGGGCAGCATTACTACAACATATCCCTGTCCTTCACGTTGGACTTCATCCCAACTGGAGCCAGATTAATTTATTTGTTCCAAAGTTTAGCCAAACTCAAGTGAAGAGTAAAAGTGGGACAACTTTTACATTTCCATTTATAGCATTACAAAGGGTGTTAATCCCTCTAAAAATAGAGAAATAAAAACCTTTGCAAACAAGGCCGTAAAAGTTGTGTGCTTGTTACAGTGTCATGCAAAATGATGTCCCCATTTAACTCCATTGTCAGTTCCCTGGTTATAATGACCAGCAAGGCAATCAGACACATCAGCTCTGGCCACTGTCAGGTTTACCTTCCTGCAGGACAGAAAGGAGAAGGCAGGCTGGGAGCAGAGAGGATATAGAAGGTGTACAACTCACACCAGAACTCATATCAGGTTTCTACCCCATAAATCACACAGACATGACAGAGTAACTGTCTCTGGGGAGGCTCAACCTCTTTTGTACCCAGGGTGCCTCAGTGGAGGAAGGCGGGGGGGAGAGGCATGGTGTAGGCCTGATTACTGTGGCCTGGGTTCTAAGGGTCTCTCTATTGTCTGGGCAGGGACTAGGGGCAGTACTGGGTCCTGTGATTTCTGTGCTTTTAAATATACCATCTTACCCAGCAGGCCAACAGTGACAATCAATCATCTGTACTGTTTCTCCAGTAGCAGTAAAGATTGCTCCTTCTCTCAAGTGTCACAGGGCATTTACAGGGGGCAGTGCTAGATAATTTGACACGTACGTTTTCATTAAAAGACAGCAGAAGCTTTGCTTGACCCATCTGTCCACTGCCATTTCCTTCAGAAGTGTATTCCTATTAAAAGCAAAAACTTTCCATCACCTGAACATGCTTCTGGATTTTATTTTATAGGAAAATTCAGATCATGCTCTTTCTTAACATATGCAGTTTTCCTCATTCACTTGCTGCCCAGTTCATGTATAATAGGCCTGCAATCAAAGTTGAGTTCCCAGCTTATCTCTTTCTCATACATACATTAGTGACATTATGGCATTCTATTAAAATGTTTACAAATGTTTTTAATAGTTCATCACTGAAATAGGATTCTCTTTAACATGAACCATTCCCCGGTACAAACGTGCACACCACAGGCTGCTGTAATGACAGATGAGAGATTTCTACCACAAAACCACCTCATTCACTGTTTTGAGAAGTGTCAAAGGATCATTAAAATGTATGGTGTGATTGTCCTTGTTTCAACTGATTACTTTGTCTTGCAGGAAGTGGACTTACCAATTATACAGTTTTCACTTTTTAAGTACCCTGTCTTTTCATGAAAAAGAAAGGTGGTGCTGCTGCCAAGTTTAATTCCCTGTGGGACTTGTGTTATATTAGATCTGACAGTGCTTGAGGATGGGAATTTTACTCTCCACTGAACCAACGTTCTATCTGACTCAAAAATATTTGGTGGGACTGTAGACAGGGAGTTTAACTTTGTACTTGCACTTGATAATGCGCTACTTACATTGGAATTTAAACTGACTTGTATCCAACACAGACGTGCCAGGCAATGACACTGGGTACAAAGTCCTACAACTGACAACCTCATCTGATAAGCACCAAGTGTCCAAACTAAACATAAGCCAACGTGAACAAAACATGCCCTATTTGTTTTGGGATGAGGACAATAGTATCAATCATTCTAGGGGAAGGTATCAGTTCTTCTGTCATTCAAACTTACCTGGGTACTTTCCTTCTGTGTTTGGAGATGGTCAAGAGCAGCTTGGATTGAGGTTGTATTTGTTCGGACTTTTTCGATTTGCTGCTGCAAGTGGTCCTTGAAATAAATCAAAATAGATACTTCAATGTGGCAAATGAAACAGAAGGACAGATTCTAAACAGAAAATGGCATCAGTGACAATGAATGGCAGACAGGGAGCAAGCAAAGATATTAAGAAGATGGAGTGAGAGAGGGTGTGAGTGTGAGAGAGAGAAAGAGAGACAGAGAGAGAGAGAGAAAACTGAAGACAGACAAATCGAGGAAGCAATATGGTGGAGCCAAATATAGAGATACAATTAAATCAACAGACAGAGCAATAGTGAGATGCACATTGAATTATGGAAAAATGAAAATTGAAGAGATGAGATTTGGAAGAAGTAGCAGTTCCATACACTGTTAACTAAAGCATCGCAAAATGATAGCTCTAATCAGCAAGATGGTGACTCTGACCGCTATGATGCTGGTCAACACAAAAAATAACTGTGTAACCTTCTGGCAGTTAACAAGCTGGTCATCACTGAGGAATAAAACCTTGTAATAATTTATATTTCATGCATAAGAGATAACAAGGTGTAGAGCTGGATGAACACAGCAGGCCAAGCAGAATCAGAGGAGCAGGAAAGCTGACGTTTTGGGCCTAGACCTTTCTTCAGAAATGGGGGAGGAGAAGGGGGTTCTGAAATAAATAGGGAGAGAGGGGTGGCGGATAGAAGATAGATAGAGGAGAAGATAGGTGGAGAGGAGACAGACCGGTCAAAGAGGCGGGGATGGAGCCAGTAAAGGTGAGTGTATGTGGGGGGTTAGGGAGGGAATAGGTCAGTCCAGGGAGGATGGACAGGTCAAGGGGGCGGGATGAGGCGAGTAGGTAGGAGATGGGGTTGGGGCTTGAGGTGGGAGGAGGGGATAGGTGGGAGGAAGGACAGGTTAGGAAGGCAGGGACGAGCTGGGCTGGTTTTGGGATGCGGTCGGGGGAGGGGAGATTTTGAAGCTTGTGAAGTCCACATTGATACCATTGGGCTGCAGGGTTCCCAAGCGGAATATGAGGTGCTGTTCCTGCAACCTTCGGGTGGCATTGTTGTGGCACTGCAGGAGGCCCAGGATGGACATGTCGTCTGTGGAATGGGAGGGGGAGTTGAAGTGGTTTGCGACGGGGAGGTGCAGTTGTTTATTGCGAACGCACATTACTTTAAATCATTCAAGGGATTTGGATGTCACTAGCTAAGCCAGCGTTTATTTCCATCCCTAACTTCCTGGAGAAGGTGATAGTGAGCTACATTCTTGAACCACTGCACTCCGTGAGGTGTTTCTGTTAAGTATAGAGTTCCAGGGTTTTGACCCCAGTGACACTAAAGGGACAATGATATAGTTCCAAGTCAAGTTGGTATGTAACTTGGAGGGGAATTTGCAGGTGGTGGTGTTCCCATGTATCTGCTGTCCTAGTTGGTAGAGACCAGTGGCTTTGGAAGCTGTTGTCAGAATGATTCATGAGTTACTGCAGTGCATGCTACAGATGGTACACACTGTTGCCTGTGCATGGGAGCTGAACGGAGTGAATGTTGAAGGGTGAAGTCAAGTGCTTCTTCCTGGATGGTGTCCAGCTTCTTGAGTGTTGTAGGAGTTACACTCATCCAGCTAAGTCGACAGTATTCGATTACACTTCTGACTTGTACCTTGTAGATGGTGGACAAACTTTGAGGAGACAGGAGGTGACCTACTGGCCACAGAATCCATAGCCTCAGAACTGCTGTTGTAGAGACACTACTTATATGGCTGGGCCTGTTCGGCTTCTGGTCATTGGTAACCCCCAGGGAGAATGCAGGAGAGGGAGAGTATAGTAGAGGGTTAGCGTGGGATATATGCTTGCGTGAGAGAGTGAGAGACAGGGAGAGAGTGTCGTGTGATTAGTTGGCAAAGGGAGAATGTGGAATCAGTGACTGAGAGGGAGAGAAGATGTGAAAGTAATTAAGTGGGACAAGGAACGGGTCAGTATGGCAAGGAGGGTCAGTGTGTGTGGGAGAGGAAGACTGTGTGTGAGCCAACATATTACCATCCTCCTTTCCTTCAACCTCTGCAAGAACCTATCCACAAAGAAAGCTGAATGAGGAGGAAATCCCAGGCTGAAAGGCAATCCGCTTCTGACCCTCACTTTCATGTGAATTCTGCTGAGGCCAATTCCGATGATGCTCACCAGAGGCAAACCAACGTCTATGTTGGTTCAACCCAACTCGTTACCTTGGCCCAGCCTCACTCGCTGGGACCTCATCTGTCTCTCTTTAGGTCTGTTTTCTCAACAAAAAGGCAAAAAAAAATGTTTTCTTATTTGGCTGGGTTTATAGTCAACACCATCGCTAGGTGGCACACTGACCAGGCAAGTGCATAAATGCAGCATTACAGTGCTTCATCATTATAAACTAACAGAGTGGCAACGACCAGTTACAAAGATGGCATTGTCCATATATTAACAAGACAAGGCCAAAACAAATTCAGAAGCGTTCTGGTCTCTGGTTACCTTGATCTTTTCTCCTTATACTACCCTGATATTTTTCTCACTGCATTCCGTCTGAATGTTACAAAGTGAGGCTGCAGAACTAACTTGACTAAAGTTTGGGATGGTAAAACTGCGAGCTAGAGGAACTGAACAGCATTGATTGCAATTGAGTTGTGATTGATTTAACAAAAGCGGTTTGGGTGTAAATTTAAACACAGGGCAGGGAAATCCTTCCAAGTAGCACCAAAATCTATCCCAGCACCACCAGCCAACCAGCACTGCTGTCGGAACTTCATTCATGCATGCACATGTCCTGTAGAGCTCACCAATATGTGCTTGCATGGGTGCTGATGTCATCCACACATATGCAGATACATACCAGAGGTCCTGTCGTGACTGACAGACAGCACAGGGACTATCTGTGCATGGTGCTGGCTCCAGCTGTCATCTTTACTATTGAGACACATACTCTGCTATTAGAGATAGTAGGAACTGCAGATGCTGGAGAATCCGAGACAACAAGGTGCAGAGCTGGATGAACACAGCAGGCCAAGCAGCATCATAGGAGCAAAAAAGAAGTTTGCTCTGCTGCTGGCACTTTTGTTAATGGCGATTTTTATTAATTAGCCATTTATTCAATTAATTGGTTTATTGCCTTGGATTTTTTTTTTCTCTCTGAAATACATAGTTACAGTTGTGCCAAACCTTATCTTTATATTTTTAGATTTAAAACACAAGCCCCCGAGTGGGAGAGAAACTGAAATGCACCACCTCAACCTCAGGCAAAAAGGTTAGATGATCCTGTTGTAGAGGGTCAACAATGCTGTCACTATGTGCACTGATGGAGGGAGTGAATTTTGAATGTAGAGGATAAGGTGCCAATCAAGCCAACTGCTTTGTGGTGTTGAACGTCCTGAGTATTGTTGGAGTCATTATCATCCAGGCAGGTGGAGCGTATTTAATCACACTCCTCACCTGTGCCTTGTAGATGGCAGGCAAGCTTTATGGAGCCAGGAAGCAAAAAAGCTGCCATAGAATTCCTAGCTTTTGAGCTGCTCTTGGAGCCACAGTACATGTATGGCTGCTCCAGGTCAATAGCAACCCCTAGCATGAAATCAGGGTCCTAGCACAAGCAACTAATATTTTAACTACCAATGCCTTTAAAAAATATTTTCAGTTCTTTTTTTCTGCATCTGTGGTGTTCTGCTATTGTATTCACGTTTATAAAGGACTCATTTAAGTATTTTGTTAGAGATATAATTTGCAAGTCACAAGGAACACACATGACAATTGAACACCATGAGGAATATGATGGCTCAGAAGCTGCTGGAATATTGGAAGTGATGTATTAAACAAAAGATGAATGTTCCCTGTAGGATGCACAGATTATTAAGATTATAAAGTTTGTTCGAATTTACCTTTGGCCAGCAAGGGACATTGCAACCTTTGGCTGAGAGATTTAGGAAGAAAGAGGTTTGCCAGATCAAAGGTCTTTGAAAATTCTACATCAAAATTTTTAGAAGAATAGATTCAATAGGCTGTAGAACAATCAATTGACCTTCAAAAGAAAAATGAATGCCATTTTTCCCAGGGTCATAGCATCTCAGAATGGAAAGAGGCCCTTTGGCCAATTATGCAGCCTCAGTCATCAAGCACCTATGGAAACTCATAATCCATCACTTGGAACGCAGTCCTGTGTGCTCCAGTATTTCAACTGTTCATCTAAATACTTCCTAAATGTTGCAATGGTTCCTACCTCGACCACACTTTCAGACTGCGATTTCCAGAGACCCAACAACCTGTGCATGTAAAAAGCCATCCTTAAAACCTTCTGCACTTTACCTTAAATCTATGTCTCCTAGTTACTGATGCCTCAATTAAGCAGAATGATTTCTTCCTAGCTACTCTGTCTATGTCGCTCATAATTTTGACAGTTCAATCATATCCTTTGTCAGCCTTCTCTGCTCTAAGCAATACAACCCCAGCCTCTGGTCTCTACATAGCTGAATTTCACCAGTCCTGTCAACATCCTGGTGAATCTCCTCTGCACCCACTCTAGTACAATTACATCCTTCCTACAGTGCGGTAATAGAAATCACACAGTACTCTAGCCCTAACCTAACTATCGTTTTATACAGTGCCATTGTAACTTACCTGCTCTTGTGTTCAATGCTTCGACTAATAAGTGCAAATATCCCACATGCCTTCTGAACCACTTTATCCACCTATCCTGTTGCCATCAAGGATGTGTGGACATGCACGCCAAGGTCCCTCTGCTCCTTAGTACTTCCTAGAGTACAGCACATTCAACCATTCATCATGTATTCACTTACTTGTTCAACCTCCCAAAATGCACCACCTCAAACTTTTCAGGATTAAATTCCATTTGTCCATCTGACCAGCCCATCACAACATCCTATAGTCTAAAGCTTTCTTCAGTTTATCATTTGCGAACTTGCTGATCAAACCTCTTACATTCATATCTAGATCATTAATGTACATTACAAACAGTAAGGAGCCCAGCACCGAACCCTGTGGCATGCTACTGGACACAGACTTCCAGTCACAAAAACAACCTTTGACCATCACCCTCTGCCTCCTGCCGCTAAGCCAATTTTGCATCCAATTTGCTAAACTGCATTGCATTCAATGGGCTAGGCTCCTATATGAGACAGTATCAAAAGCCTTATTGAAGTCTATGTCCACTGCATTTCTGTCACCTACACACTTCGACACCTCCTTGAAAAACCCAGTCAAACCTGTCAGACATGACATTCCCCAACAATGCCATGCTGACTATTCTTGATTATTCCTTGTCTCCACAAGAGGAGATTAATTCTGTCCCTCAATTTGTTTTTCCCCATAGGTTTCACTAACACTGATATTAGACATACAGGCCTGTGGTTTCGTGGCTTATCTCTACCACTTGCTTTGAAGACTGTACATTAACTGTTCTCCAGTCCTCTTGCACCTCTGCCGTGGCCAGAAAGGATTTAAAAATCAATGTCAAGGCACCTACAATCGCCTCCCTTGCTTCCCACAGCTGCTTTAGGGGCTTATACAATTTGAAGCCCACTCAAATACTTCCTCCCTTCTCAACTGTAATTTGTTCAAGGATATCATGGCTCTCTGCTGATTTCTACACTGCCATCATTCTTCTACATTGTGCATGGCAGGAAAGCACCTGGTCTCTGAAAGCTCCAGCTAGACATCACAAACCAGCTACTTCTCAGAACTTTCGAGATAGTAAGAACTGCAGATGCTGGAGTCAAAGATAACACAGTGTGGAGCTGGAGGAACACAGCAGACCAGGCAGCAGAGGAGCAGGGAAGTTGGTGTTTCAGATCAGGACCCTTCTTCAGTAAAAAAAACTTCTCAGAACTTTGTCCCCCTGCCCTGGTGATAACAGGAACAGGTGAGATGTTGGAAAACAATTGTAGGGCACACAATTTTATTTTGTAATGGAAATGTTCAAGTGCTGATGGGATGTGTGTGGTCTAATTTGGAAAAAGGTGGAGCATAGCTTGTGAAGAGATAAATGAAGGGATAAAATCCTGGGAATAATACCGAAACTACTGGATAGGCAGACGTGCAAAAACGTATTTGCCTTGGATACCAGCCTAGCAATCAGCAGCTTCCCTTGAACACAGAATTTGTAGGCGATTTACAAATGAATGAGGGAGAGGAGTGTAGCGTTGTGTGCAAGTGCCTTGCTTAATTACAGCTGCTACACGCGGTGAATAGCTTTGGGGAAAAGGCGCTACTTCAACGCAAATTGCTATTTTTGCCACATCAAAACTTCCCGACTGCAGAGCCAAAGAAATCCTGGGATGTGAAAGACAGTTCCATGTACGTGTGAAATCGTAGTATTGAAACAAGATTTGACAGGACCTTGCAATTTCAAGCAGGAAATTCCTGCTGAATGTGGCAAACGGAAGGACTATCCCTGCTAGCAACAACTGTTCGATGTTCATAAATTAATAGCTGCTTGCTAGATTTGGTCACTGAGTAACTCCAGTGTATCCGACAGGTTATAGGACCACTGGGCACAAGCAGCTAATCCGCAGCAGAGCGATTAGGATGCTGATATATCAGAACAATAAAACATACCCGCAGTTCCTGTTCCCCCTCACCGATACTGACACAATTATGGTTCTTGTGTTTCCCCACGACAGGGCAGAGACAGCAGATACACACTTTGTCGTCCTTACAGTAAATCTCCAACAGTTTCTTGTGCTCTATGCACTTCCATGTAGACATGTCTGCAGTGGGATCAATGAGGGGGTGGTTTTTAAACACAGCGTTTTCCCTGTGATGTTTGAGGTGCTTGGGGCACATAGAGGCCTCACATTTCAGGCAGGTTTTGACAGCTGTTAGTTTTTTCTTACTGCAGTAGTTACAGGGTAAAGCTACTGGAGTTCCATTCACTGCCTGGTATTTCAGAGCTATGTTTGCCAGTTTGAAATTCCTTTTCAGTGCAGGCCTCTCTCTGTAATTGGCTCTGCATTCTGGGCAGGAGTAAGTGCCAGATTCTGGCTCTTTCCAGGACTCCTCAATACAAGCTCGGCAAAAGCTGTGTTTACAGTTCAGTATCACCGGGTCGGCGTAGATCTGGAGGCAGACGGGGCACGTTAGCTCCTCTTCCAACCACTCCGGAGGCAAAGCAGCCGCCATCAGGGTCAAGAGAAACCGAAACTGAAACTGAAACCGTGGCACTTGGAAGCACAAAACATAACGGCCCCGGGGGTGGGGCCGGGACCGCTGCAAAATGGGGGACGGACACCCTGTTAGTTTAACTTTAAGCTCATTAAAGAGCTCGAGCTGGAACATTTTCTGCAGGAGCCTGCACAGATGCAGCATTTTTTTTAAAAAACTGAAAGCAAGTGGGTGTTCCTACACCTCTGCAGGGCAGTGAATTAAGATTATGGCATTTCCAGTCCCCCCTGTTTGTGTGAATGGATCACCACCAGCAAAGCGCACACTTCAGTCAGTGGCTGTCCATCTGGCCGTGTATTTTTGAAAAAGTTGCTGAGTGCCTATCCTGCCCGTGTTTGGTCGTGGCTGGGTGGATATCTGTAACTGAATCAGGTCGTGGCTGGGTGGATATCTGTAACTGAATCAGGACTGAGCTGTTCGATCATTAACCGGCAAACACCCATTTTCATTTTTAAAAACTGAGCGTCCCAACATCTGGTACTGGCGGCTGCAGTTTCAGAGTGCCTTGACTCTCCTTCAACTCCAGTGACATATTCTGGAGAATCTTCATTGATTATTATTTCTTTAATCAGGCTGTCGGCGGGGTAATCGCCCGGTCGTTGCTATTTTCCCAGTGAGTTGCAGTACCTTGAACGGAGAAGCAAAACATTTCCAGGCAAAAAAAAACTCCCAGAGTCTGTGCAAACAGGCAGTGGCTGAGAGCAGCGACAATTAGACCCTGAATAAAACATTCACGGAGTAAAGAAACTAGCTTCGGCATTAGGAATGTATAGGGCAAATCTCTTATATATCTACATACATTCAGATTTCTATAAATTCTTAAAATGTTGCATTCTATTCACTCTGTATGTCACTATTACAAATTTTAATACCTAGGCTATTCCAAAAATGCGAACAAATAAATATTATACAAGCACATAATTTTAGGTAACCGCCTGTATTTTAAAACATATTGGTGGTGTAACTTGTGCAGGGGCTGGAGACACTGTGGCACAGAGTTACGTGGATAGCAACTGTAGGAACACAGACACAGGAGTAGGCCGTTCAGCCCCTTGAATCTGTTCCACCATTCAATGGCTGATCTGTGGTTTAACTCTACATACTCGCCTTTGGCCCATATGCCTTAATATCTTTGCTGAGCAAAAGATTATCTATCTCAGATTTAATATTAACTGATCCAGCATCCATTGCCGTTTGAGGAAGTAAATTTCAAACCTCTACCACCCTTTGCGTCTAGAAGTGCTTTCTAACATCTCTCCTAAACACTCTGACCCTAATTTTCAGACTATGCCACCTAATTCTAGAATCAGCAACTAGTGGAAATAGTTTTTATTTACCTTTCTCTTCTGTTAATATTTTGAAGCCTTCTAAATTCTCGAGAAAACAGGCCTAATTTGTATAATCTCTTCTCTGAACTTAATCCCTGAAGTCCAGGTATCATTTTTGTAAACACAAGTTGTACTCCCTTTAGGGCTAAGGTATGGGTGCAGTATCTATCTGCAGCATAACTTCTGCATTCTTTACTCCAATCCTTTAGATATAAAGGACTGCATTCCATTAGCTTATTGATTATTTTCTGTATCTGTTCATGACATTTTAAAGATCTATGGACCTGAATGCCTCTAGATTCTTTGGACATCTGTTGTTTTTAACTTCATTTAGAAAGTACTCTGATCTGTCCTTTTTTAGTCCAAAATGGATATCCTCACACGTCCTTATATTGAATTCCATCTAACACAGTTCTGCCTACTCACGTGTCTAACAAAATCTTTGTAATTTTCTGCTTTCATCTACACTGTCTACAATGTCGCCCAACTTTTTGTCATCAGTAAATTTGGAATATGACATTCTGTGCCACCATCCAAGTCATTAACAGACAATATGAATAATTGAGGACCTAACACAGATCCTTATGGACACCACTGGTCATATCCTGCCAAATCTGTGCATCTTCCCATTATCCCTACTTTTTATTGCCTGCCACTCCACCAATTTCCCAGCTGTGTCAGTCATTCACTGAGATGTTCACATGTTAATTCAGGAGACTGAAGGAAAAAAAAAAGAATGGGTGACCACCAGGCAGGTAGTGCAGGAGTTCCCTGGAGTCCTGCTGACAAATCGGTTTTCCATTTCAGAAGCTAATGAGAGTGTTGGTTCCTCAAAGGAATGCAGACAGAGTCAAATTTCCAGCACCGTAAGCAGCCTGACTGTAGAGGCGGGGAGGAAGAAGAAACCAAAAGCAAGTGAATGTGGATTCATTCATTACAGGTACAGACAGGCATTTCTACGGCTGCGGATGTGACTCCAGGACGGTGTGACGTCTCCCTGATGTTAGGGTCAGGGATGTCACTAAGTAGCTGTAGGGTATCCTGTAGGTGGAAGGTGATAAGTCAGAGGTTGTGGTAACACTGATGTCAACGACAGCGCTAGAATGAGGGATGAGCTCTTGCAGCAAGAATTCAGGGAGTTAAGCAGTAGCTTAAGGAGGTTATAATTTCTGGATTACTCCTAGTGCTACATGCTAGCAAATACAGAAATAGAAAAACAGGGCAGATGAATGCATGGCTCAAGATTTGCTGCAGGAGAAAGGGTTTTGGATTCCTGGATCACTTGGCATTTTTCTCAAGAAGGTGGGACCTCTACAAGTGGGACACATACACTTGAACCACAACAGGAGACTAAACAGCTTTTGGGTGGGTTTGCTCATGCTGTCAGCAAGAGTTTAAACAAGTTCGGCAGGTGGAGGGGACACAGATCATTCAGTCAATAGGGACACAACATACATTAGTAAAGGAACTAAGGTAGAGGGAATTCAGTCATGTTGTGATTCAAGGGAGTAGGGCAATGCTAGTTTCTACTTTAATGCTAGGAATACTATATGCAAGACGGATGAGTTAAGGATGTGTAAGACAGGTGGAATTGATGTTGCTGCCATCATAGAGACATGGTTGAGGAAGGAGCAGGACTGGCAATTCAGCATTCTGGGGCACAGGACCTTCAGGCAATACCAGGGAGGGTGTAAAAGAGGAGCTGGTGTTGCATTATTGATTAAGGAGTCAGTCATTACAGTAAAGAGGAGTGACATCCTGGAAGGGTCTTCAAATTCAGCTCCAGGTTTGAACCAAGGCTGTACTGAGGTCAGGAGCTGAGTGGCCCTGGCAGAATCCAAACTGGGCGTCACTGAGCCGGTTATTAGCGAGCAGGTGCTGCTTGATAGCACTGTTGATGACACCTTCCATCACTTTACGGATGATTGAGAGTAGACTTATGGGTGGTCATTGGCCCAGATTGGATTTATCCAGCTTTTTCTGGACATACTTGGGCAACTTTCCACAGTTAAGTAGCTGCTAGTGTTGTGGTTGCACTGGAACAGCTTCATTAGGGGTGCACCAAGATCTCAGTGCTATTGCCAGAATGTTGTCAGGGCCCATAGCCTTTGCAGTATCCAGTGCCTCCAACTGTTTCTTGGTATCATGTGGAGTGAATTGAATTGGCTGAAACATGTAGCTGTAATGCTGGCGACCACTAGAAGAGGCCAAGATGGATCATTCGCTTTACCCTTCTGGCTGAAGATTATTGTGTATGCTTCAGCTTTATTGTTTGCAATAATATGTTGGGACCTTCCATCATTGAGGATGGGGAGATTTGTGGAGTCTCCTCCTCCAGTTAGTTGTTTAATTATCCAGCACCATTCATGACTGAATGTGGCAGGACTGCAGAGCTTAGATCTGTAGGTTATGGGATTGCTTAGCTCTGTCCATCACTTGTGCTTATGCTGTTTGCCATGCAAGTAGTCCTGTTTGGTAGCTTCACCAGGTTGACCCCTGTGGAAGATGTAAAAAGACAAGGGAGTACTTCACAAACAACAGGATACTGGAAAGCTCAGAAGAACATACAGATCTTGGCGTGCTTATCCACAGATCCCCGAAGGCAGCAGGACAGGTTAGTAGTGTAGTGTAATCAAGAAGGCATTTAGGACATTTGCCTTAAATCAGTTGTAAGTCACACAACATCAGGTTATAGTCCAACTAGCATGTCCACATCAAGGCTACCATTGACACCATAAACTGCCGGCTCAAAGTGGAGAGGATCTCCAAGAAGATTGCGCATATCGACCAGAAATCAAAGTTTCTGCAGAGATGCAAGAAAGCAGAGAAAATCCCGAAAGGACTACAGATTACGAACCCACTCAAGTCGAACTACAACACAGACTACGCTGAGAGACTCTGCCATCGCACCTCTCGCGCACTCAAGCATCTCGCTCACCAACTCTACAGCAGATGCCGCAACCTTGAAATTGAGATAGAGTCCATATTCTCAGCTTGCGCTCAGGATACAGTGAACCAGCTATGAGACACTGCCAAGCAGATGAGGCATTGGAACTATACTGCCTACATGCCCACCAAATAACTGGCACCTCCTTAATCAGTTATGGTATAGATAATAAGTGCTGAAAGGATATGTTGGGCCATACTGAACTTCGGTTAGGCCACAGGTGGAGTAATATACGTAGTTCTGGTCACTGACTATAAGAAGGATGTGACTGGTCTATTCCAGTTGCGATTTCACCATAGTTGCTAAACCAGCCAT